CAAAAAAAATCATTTGTTGCAGCCCTGTTTGAAGTCCATGTTGCTTGACCATTATTTGATATTGATAGTAATGATGCTGATTTACTTTATGGTTTGAATGTACAGATGAATCTCTTTTATTGTTCTCCAGAATAACACCTCGATGGCTCTAAGCACTACTATAATCAGAGCCAGTCCAACTCCTCCAGTGGAACCGTTTGATAATGTAAATGTTCTGAGTTCTTCAAAGAGTCCAGAGCCTCTTTGCCATTCTGAAATTCCAGGCCTCAACAAAAAGACCTCTGAACTGGGCTCACATAGCCAAAGTGACTTCCGTAAAGACTATGGAAATGAATACTCTAAGGGCAACCGCCAGTCTGAGCCTGGGCCGAGGTTGTACGCTCAAGTGGATTCTGGGTACTCAAGCAAGCTGAACATTCAGCATCCATCTGGGGCAGCCTCAGAACAGGCACACCAAGCGTTGCCTCATGTCTTGGGGTCTGGATCTTGTTTTGGGGCTGCGGATGACTTTGCATATGGGTCAGTACCCAGCTACACCTCTCAGGGTGCCCTGACAAACCTTCCCAACCTCCTAACAGGGCGTTCCCTCTTTAGTTCCCAACTGGCACAGCAGTATCTGAGCTCAGAGGGGCCTCTACATGCTCCTCCCTATCAGATTGGAGGGCCATCTGGTTTGTATGGAGTATCTGCTGCAGTGCCTGCAGCAAACCCATCTATGGGACATATGCATGTACCTGGGCATACAAGTCTTCAGTCTGGTTACCTGAACTCTGGTCAACAACATCCACCTCAGTATCCAGTCAATAAGAATTATGGACAGCCAAGTGTTGGGTCATGGGCTGCACGAGATCTTGCAGACCTTAGAAGTAAGTGGAAAAATGTTCATGTATTTTAAAGACATTGGTGGTATAAAGGAATTTGTTAAAAGGAAAATAAATGTTTTTCTTCAGTTCAAGTGATGGTTCCAAATGAGCTGAAGTTTCCCAGTTCTTGCTGTGTGGGAATTGCCTCTCAGACGTCCCTCAACATCTTCAACCCCTCTGAGCGCTGGCAGCAAGTTTCAATCTCCATCACAAGCCTATCCATTGATGGAGAGAAGGTTTGAAATCTGTCAGATGTAGTCTAGATCAGTGGTTCTCAACAATCTGGCCTCAGCACACTTCCTCAAGATGACTTGAATTGTATAAAATAATACAAAACAAGATTTAAAAAATTTGCGCACAGCCAAAAATCTAAACCTATGTATTTCCTTTCTCAACATCTTAAGGTTTTTTTGGGGGG